ATCAAAATTTGGTAAAGTATAAAAGACCCGGGTCTACAAATATATTATAAATATTAAAAGACCCTGGTATGATAACAAAAAAAAATAAAAATAAATCTTTATTATACTATATAATACTACATAATAAATTTATTTACATCTTCCTAATGTCAGTATTGTACAAGTTTTTTTAAACAGTTTGGTGGATAGTCTGACACTTAGCTTATAATCTATCTCTCAAATATATATATTTTTGTGATTCAATTTTAAACACCTTTAATTAATGGTTTAAATTAGGTTATTATAATAAAATTTTGTATTATTTGGTATTAAATTTTGTTTGAATATTGTTGGAGTTGCCTGAATAACAATACTGCCCAATGTTAATACCTTTTCGGTTCAAAATTTAATGAATTATCTAAATCTGCAAGTGATCCTTTATATTCACTATACGTTTCTTCACATCCTATAATAATAGTGCTTAGAGTTTCATTAATACTTAATTGTTCAATGTAAATAAATAATTCAGAAATATATATCTACTATTATATAATAGATTCTGTTTCCTAATGCCCATAAATCAGTAGGCTCAATTTCTAATACTTTATTTAAAATCGAATTGATATATGCATATCATACAGCAAATTATTATGAAACGAATTACATAATATCAGCACAATTTGATTATTTGTGTATTATATCGATACAACATTTTTTTGTTTTCCAATGATTGAGATTCATATTTTTAAAATTATAAACCAGAAAGTCTTTCAATCCCACAAATTAACATATACAACTACATTATTATCATAATACATATCTTCACAATCTTGGTTATTTCCGTCTTCATTTTCATCTGTATTACAACCGTCATCATCGTCGCTATCATCATTTTCATCGCCATCGTCTTCGTCAATATCGTCTTTATCCCGTCGTCTTCATCAACATTATCTTCATCACCATCGTCTTCGTCAACATCATCCTCATCACTATCGTCTTTGTTGCTGTCACCTTCATTGACATCATTATCACCACCACCATTATCGCTATCGCCGTTATCGTTTTGGGTCAAGTCAACAATGCTTTCATCCTCACTTGCGTTATCCTCATTAGTATATATACATTCGCTATGTTTTTTTTGAGCCTCTGGGTTTTTAACCCAATCATAATTGAACATTAACTCCTCGTCAGTTCCATCTTGAGCAGTGGAGATGCCACAACACTTGAACGAATGTTTAATAAGGGAGGGATCAACTTGGTTCTATGCTTTTACTACCCATTTGGCCACCAAATTATAGGTGGGTCGTTGGATACGACCTGTGCGTGTTAGTTTTTTGATTTCTTCTCCTATCCAATCGAGGTAAAATAAATCTATAATTTTTTTAGATCGATTTGCTATTTGAAGAATTTATGTTTAGATCCATTTTGTAGACTTGTGGTAAATTTGGTACAATGGGTCTAATAAAATAAATGATTAATAAAAATAATACTGTAAATCGCTATATACAAGATCCGGGTCTGTTACATTCCACCAATTTTAAAACCTACAATAGACCCGTGGGTCTATTGTATGAATATGGATCTGATGATCAGAAGGTTTTATATAGGGATCTAATAATCGGTGAAATTTTTATGTAGGTGTTCAGTACTAAGTAATACATGCATCGTATGCACAAAAGATTTATTTAATATGAATTGCAGTTTTTATTCCTTAGCGTCACTCAAACCCGTATTATGTATGGCATAGCAAAGAATGAGAACGAATTCAAAATTACCCGAAGCAAAGCGTGAAAACTCCCAGTGACGAAAGAAACCACAAGTTCAAAGAATAATCTTTTTTTATTTTTTATTTTTTAAAAAAAAAAAACTAAAATAAAATAAAGAAAAAAATAAGAATTTAACATTAAGTCTGTATGAATTTCTTAAGGCCTAATGAATTATTAGAAATTAATTCAAATAGCCCTGTTTAATTTTTATCTTTTGAACAAAATCCATGGCAATTACATAAATTCAAAATTAATATAGAAATTTTATATATAGAAAAGTTATATTTAGACTATAATTTAGAGTTTATGCTGAACAATGTACGATAAATGAAATCAAATAATAATTATTTCATGATAATGAAAAATTAAAGACAAGAAGCTTATCAACTTGTGAAAAATTTATAGAAATTAGCAGATCAAAAAGTTATAAAAAAATTCAAATATTAGAAAATGCAAAGTATTAATTTTTTTAATTTACTAATTTTTTTTAAAAAATTTTATATATTAACTATTTGGTTTTATATTTAATTTGTTCAAGATATAAATATAAAGGCATACAAATATTACGAATTATTTTATCAAGCTTATATATGAGCATGTGAGAGTAAAAATCTGAAAATAGATTTAATGATTTACTATAATTGGTTATAGGTTTTCACTCTTATATACTCATATAGCTTAATAGATGATTTTCCAGTAAACTGAAGAATGATCATAGTGTAACACAATGCAGTTTTATATATAAATTATTTAAGATGGAACTATGGCATTCATTTAAAGAAAACTTTTTTTACTAAGTAAATCACCTTTAAGCTTTTAACAAAAGTTGTAAAGCTCATCAAGACACATCTAATAGTAGTAAAAATATTAAAATTGGCTTGGTGGTTCTTAAAAAATTTTTAAAAAATATTTCATTAACTATATACTGTAAAATCTTTTTTAAAAAAATTGATTTTCTTTAAAGAAATTTTATATGTTAATGAAATATTTTTTAAAGATTTCTCAAGAACTACTAAGCCAATTTTAATATTTTTACTACTATTAGATGCATCTTGATAA